ATTAATAAAAGTAATATAGACATTAAACGCAACATTAATAACCCTCAAAACACCAGAAACACGTTGATTTAAAAGGACAATGAACCAAAATGTAAAGTTTGAAAAATAATGCCTCACAGAGCTTCCTGAGTTGGTAGTGCTATATTACGGAAAGATATGTTCATACAGATGGGTGATGACCGGATTATATGTTTTTGAACGAAGTTCTATGATCACACCGATCGGGCGAACGCGGCCAATCGTCAGCCGGAAGCAGGCACTGCGAGCGAGGCCTTCTGGGAGTAACCGCGCCGGAACTGACATGTCCTGCTTACGGAAGCTCCTGCCACTTCTTTCCACTTTAGCGGAACGAACACTCTCCAGCGTTTGCTCTACTCAAGCGGAAAGAGGTCGGAAGAGCTTCCACTTTGTTCTTAACCCGTCACCGACTATAAGTTGGTTTCACCCAAAGTCGGAGGACAAAAGTTCGCGCATTATTCTGTTTGTGTCCGATATCCCACTGATACTTGCAGGTGATTTGTCAAGGTCTTTTTGTTTTGCCTCTTTTTTAATGGGATAGCATTCTTTAGCAACCGCCCCCTCCCCCGATTTTGTGGGCCCTTCAGGCTTTCTGCGCTAAGTTTCCGCTAAATTTAGCGGACAAATTAACGTAACGTGACCTATGCACGAATTCGGTTTATTCGCTGAAAAATTGACGTCACATGATCTCTGCATTAATTTAGTTATCCTAAACGTGGCGGAAAAATTGATGTCACGTAACCTGACGTCGGGGGACCTACAGGCACATTCATGTTCCCAGCTAAATTTAACAGAAAAATTTACGTCACGTTAATTATGCACCAATTCAGTTTCAGCACTAAATTTACCGGAAAAATTGACGTCACTTGACGTGTACACCAATTTAGTTTTCACGCTAAATTTGGCGAGAAAATTGACGTCAGGGGACCTACAAACAAATTCACGTTTCCCGCTCAGTTTAGCGGAAAAATTGACGTCACGCGACCTTTGTACCAATTCAGTTCCCCATTATATTTGGCGGGAAAACGCAACACGACATTAAAATCATTTATTCATCAGCAACTCATCGGCGTTAAATCAACGCAACGTCATTTTAACATCAGATCACCGTATGACGCACGATCGGCGCAATGCGAATTGATCATCATCGTCATATCGTCGAATAATCGAATAAGAATAAGATTGACCTAGGTGTCATCCTAGACATCGCCTTTGACGTCGTTATTTAGGACTTCGTCATCGACGTCGTCCATAAGGTCGTCCTAGGCGTCGTTCTTGACGACGTCCTCTAGGACGTCGTCCTCGATGTCGTCTATGGCCTCGTAACAAAAGAAGGAGGTAAACCTGTCGACTGCTATCGCAATTCACAGACAACCAACAATAGTGGCTTCTGCAGGCATTCTTTTTTCTCTTTTTGCTGAGTGCTATAATGAGGTGCTAAAGACATTCCTTTTTTTTTCCATAGCCCTCAAGTTCTTTTGTCTGAAATAAAGAATACAGTCAATCAATCAATCAATTATTCAATCAAAGCATATGTGCGAAACGTTTTTTTTTTTTTCCCCAAAAGGCACTACGACCTTCAGAGAACTTGCGGCAAACGTCGAAAAACAACGGGCGATTTGAGTAAAAAATGCTACCGGCCTAGGACCAATGAGCGGGTATGGACCGCGCGACTTTATCTAAGTACTCTCACGGTCTATAGAGCCGTAGTCACAGTACTCAGAGAGAGTACAAAAGACAAAGTGCTCGGTGCACACAAGATGGCAGAATTATACCTGCGAACACCCCTCAAGTATGCTTCAACCAGCCTCATCCATAGTGTATGCTCATGTCGGCAGACAGTCTTTTGTTCGAGGTATTAGCAGTGTAACCGCGACTTTAACAGCACGCGATGGAGAAAATACGCCGATGCCTCGTAACACATAGTAGCGCCCCCATTTCATCCACGTCGCATGTGGCGAGGACGTCGAGGCCGGCGGTGGTTATGCCCCTCCCCCTTCGATTCGAGAATTCCGCTGTGACGGACGAAATCATTATGCTCGCACGTCCACGCTGCATACAGTGCGAGCAAATAGTAAAGTAAGTGGCGCTGCGTCCCTGTTGTGGCGAGAGCAACAAAGAGGAATCGTGTCCGCTCTTCAAGAGAGAGAGAGAGAGAAAACTTTATTATATAGCCGCCCATGTCCGGGCAGTGGTTGCTAGAGGGTGAGGCCTTCCGGAAAGGCTTGGCGGGTCAGGCTGGAGCTTGGGGGAGTGTTGCTGAAGTCAAGGGGTCTCGCACATGGGAGATGTGCTGCGCTAGGCGAGGCCAGAGGGCAGGGCGGAGGTCCGAGGGAGGAGCGGCCCAGCTCTCCCAGGTAAAGGGCATGTTGGGAGGGACGAGATGTGGAAGGAGAAAGTTGGGAGATTGTTGGGCGAGTGGACAAGACCAGTAGGTGTGTCTCACGTCGGGATAGGCACCACAGACCTGACAATGGGGGGTTCCGGGGCGATTCATAATGTGGTGGGATATGAGGTCGCACGGCAGGGAGAATGTCTGTGCCTGACGAAGGTATGTACCCTCGCGCCGTGTGAGGTTAGGGGTGGGAGGGGGAAGAGTACGGCGGGAAAGGCGGAGGTCTTTCAGGCGCTGTCGTTGAGCCTTGCGATGAGCGGCGCGTTCCTCTTTCGGGTTGTAGTCCGGGAGCCAGGGTTCAGGGTTGCTCGGAGTCTCGTTTGCGCGAGCAAGGGCGTGGGCCCTTTCATTCCCTGCGATTCCCTGGTGTCCGGGGACCCACTCAAGAAAGACGTGGAGATAAGGGTGGGCAGCCATGTAGGATGTCAGGTCGTGTTTGATGTGTGCAGGTACGGAGTTGGTTGAGAAGTCTCTGAGGGCTCCTTGACTATCGGAGCGGATAGTAATGGATTCGGTAGAGTGGGGCTGTAGGAGGATGGCTTCTGCTATGGACTGCGTCTCTGCCGCTGTAGGGGAGGGCACATGTGCATGGTGTCGGACTGTCTCTGTTTTGGGGCCCACTGTGACGGTGGTAGAGATGCCGTCGGTGAAGGCGGCGTCCGTGCAATAGATATCGTGCGGTGGTGTGGAAAGATGAAGGGCTCTGCTTTGGCGTCTTCCAAGCTCCACGGTCGGATTCATGTGTAGGGGGATGGGTTTGACTGTAATGCGAGGAATCATCTCCCACGGTGGCGGTTCTTTAGGAAGGGGAGAGAGGTGGACAATTGGGTATCTGAGGGTGGACAGAATGGCGCGGCCTTGCTTGGACGTGGTGAGTCGGTGGTATTGCGCTGCGACGTGGGCTTCCGTTTTCTCCTCGAGGCTGTTGTGAAGAGCAGTGGCCGTGATGAGGTAGTTTGGGGCGTACGTGGGCACGCCGAGTTCCGTGCGGAGGCATTTTCGGAGGGCGGTTTTCAGTTTGATGTATTGGGTTTTTGTGAGGGTTAAATAAGGGAGGGCATAGAGAACACGGGAATAGACAGTCGCTTCCACAATCTTGCGGAGCTAGTGTTCTTTCAGGCCGTGAGTGTGGCGGGTGATTCGGCGGAGCATGTTATAAACGAGGTGGATTTGTTTGGTGGTTTTTGTTGTCCACACTGTGCTCTTCCCATCTTGCTGCCATATGAAGCCCAAAATGCGGATGTGAGGCCGACGGGGGATTTGGTGGCCGCCGACGTTGAGGCGGATGAGGGATTGATAGAGGTCTGTTTCTTTTCGATTTTGATCCACAACGACGACATATTCAGATTTTTCGGGAGAGCATTCGAGACCGATAAATTGGGCGTGGGTTTGGATAATATCCAAGCCGTCTTGAAGGGTACGTTCCTGTGTCCCCGGGCTGCCGCGGGAGCACCAGATAGTGACGTCATCAGCATAAATGGCGTGGCACAGATCAGGAACAGATGAAAGCTTAGAGGGAAGGTTTTTCATGGTGAGGTTAAATAAAGTTGGGGATAAGATGGAGCCTTGTGGCGTGCCGCGGGAGATGGGGAAGGGGGGAGATGATGCCGTCGGGTCCGATGATTTGGGCGGTACGTTCGGAAAGGAAATCTTTGATATAGTTGAAGAGGGGGCTTCCGGGTTGAGTTTCTTGGAGATTGTGGAGGATGGCGGCATGAGTAACGTTATCGAAGGCCTTCTTGAGGTCGACTCCGACGATAGTGCGGAGCTGGGCGGTGCTCGGGTGTGCAAAAACATCTTCCTGAATGCGGAGGGCTACGTCTTGCGTGCAGATGTGTCTTCTAAACCCAATCAGGGTGTGCGGAAGATGGTTCCCCGTTTCGAGGTGCCAATCAAGGAGGTTGAGTACCAATTTTTCCATTAATTTTCCAATGCATGAGGTCATTCAGATGGGGCGAAGGTTTGTTGGAGTGGTCGTGGGCTTTCCGGGTTTAGGAAGCAGGATGACATGAGCCGTTTTCCATTCCTGTGGGAGCCGTCCAGTTACCCATACCCGGTTGATGTGTGTGAGCAATTCGTCGAGTTTAGCTTCGGGAAGGTTTCGGAGCATGGTATATGTGATACAATCGGGTCCAGGTGCGGTGCGACGTTTAAGTTGAAGCATGGCGAGCCAGAGTTCGCCGATAGAAAACTCCGAGTTGATTCCCGCGTCTAAGTCTTCAGGCAGGGCGGAAATGTAGTTAACGCTGGGTTTGGGATGTGAGCAAGGGGGTAGAATGTATTGCGAATGTCCTCAATGAGGGTGGAAGGTTCCAGGTGTTGGGCCAGGAGCAGTTTTTGGAGGGTGTGCCGAGGTTTGGCCTGCCCTAGGAGGGAGCGGAAAAGGTTCCAAACCTTGGGAGTGTGAAGTTGGCCGTTGAAATTGTTGCAAAGGTCAAGCCAATGCTGTATGGCAAGGTGGTCAGCATATTCTTCGCATTCGTAGTTGAGAGCTTGTATTCTGGCTTGGAGGGTGGTGTTGTGCTTGCAGTGGCGCCAACGCTTGACCAAGGCGCGACGTTTGTCCCATTAGGAGAGGAGGTGGCTGTCAACGTGAGGCTGGTACTCGGTGCGCGCAATCTCCTTGGTGTGTTGTTGGATCGTGGCGAGTAATCGCGGTACTCCAAGCTTCTGGGGACAGGGTGTCGGTGTCGACGCTGTCGAGATCCGCTCTAGCTTTCGGCCAGTCTGTAATCTTGGTCCGGGGATAGGTGGCGGTGGTACGACGGAGACGGGAGCTGATTTGGAGGCGCAGTTCCAGGATCTGATGATCGCTGCCAAGAGAGTCCTCTGTGTTCTCCCAAATCGCTCGGAGTGGTCCGCGAATCCATGTGAGATCCGGGGTTGTGTCCGACTCTTGTGCCGTGCCTAGGCGTGTGGGGCTAGACGGCTCCGTAAGAAGAGTGAAGTGGTGATTGCTGGTGAAAGAGGCCAATTTACGGCCTAGCGGCACCGCGCGGTCATAGCCCCAGGCGGGATGAGGGCAGTTAAAATCTCCAAGAAGGAGAACAGTGTTGCGAGCATTTGACTTAGGGAGGAGGGTTTGTAGCGGCGGGAAGGGCGTTGAAGGTTGGTTAGGAGTCCAGTACGCATTGATGATGGTAAGGCGATGGTCACCTATGAGAGTGGTGGTGGTTACGTGTTCTTGCGTGGGGGTGTTGACATCCGTAGTATCTTCTTGGGTGGTCGGGAGGTCTTTACGTACGTAAGTGAGCGTCATGGTGGGGGTGGTGCTTTCATCCGCAGTGCCCCGGCGACGGTGGGTAATGCTCGGTTGGGCGAACATGTCGTAGCCACGAAGGTTGAGCGCTCCTCTAGCTTCTTGAATGACGAGGATGTCCGGTTGGGTGTCTGTGAAGGTCATATGGTTGAGGAGGAGGTTTTTTTTCTTGCGGAGTCCGCGGCAGTTCCACTGCCAGATTATCAGAGGCTGCTGCGAGCGGGGAAGGTTCAGAGTCATGGAGCTGTTATTCATCTTGTGCAGGATTGCGGTCTTGGATTGAGGCAGCTGTACGCTTGTGGGGATGATGGTCCTCTTCTAGTACGGCAATACGAGCTGTGAGGTCGTTAAGAGTACTAAGGAGAGGGGCAAGAGCTTGGTTTAGGACGGGGGCAATTATTTGTTGAAGGAGAGACGGGAGTATCTGGTCCAGTGCCTTGCGTACAATTTCTTGTATGTCGGTTTGTGAAATTATAGGTTGTGTGATTTGAGGGGGAGCAGGGGGAGTGGCGGGAGCAGTAGAGGTGGGTAGAGGGAGAGAGTTTGAGCCACTCACCTCTCAGGTTGGTGGGAAGGCCTGGTCGATGCCATTGTTCAAAGGCCTGGGCAGATCGTGTGATGTGGAGTTCTGGCGTAGGGAGGATCTGGAGCGTCCGAATGGTTGGAGGTTGTGCATCGGGGAAGGTGGAGGGGGTGCTCGGGTGTTCGGTCTTCGGGAGCGGCTGCGTTTGAAGGTCCTGGAGCCACGGGCAGGTTGGACTTGAACAGGTCCTTTGCTGCGGCTGCGGCTGCGTGATGAGTCTAAAATGCCGAACCGGTTGGAGGTGGGCAATGGGGGCCAGTTGCCATCTCCGGTGTCTAGAGGGGGTGGGCCTTGAGTACGGACGTTCCGGTGGTGCCCAGCTCTGGTTCGTTTTTGTAGGGACTGTGTTGCTTCGAGGCGTGCAGGGCAGGAGAGGTCTGTTGCTGCGTGTTCCCCGTTACAGTTGAGGCATCGGGGCTCACATTCATGACGGATGTCGGAGGGGTTTTGGTCCGGAGGGAAACGGGACCCACATGCGGCACAGCACACTAACTCGGCTCGGTTTGGGCATACGAGGCTTTGATGTTCGAGGCTGAAGCAGTGCTTGCATTGCTGGCTGTTAGGGCGTGGTAGGTATAGCCTGAAGACCGTGGAACAGAGGATGGCATGTCGAGGGAGAGTGGGTCCTTCGATGGTGACGAGGAGCGAGGCCGTTTGGCCTAGGCGGCGGAATCGGAGAATCCTACGGGAGGGAATGTAGAGCTCTGAGTGGATGGCTTCGTCAGTGAGATCCAGGGATACTTCGTGGATAACTCCTTGGGCGTTATTCGGGCTGTTGGCCTCGTACGTGTTGGCGGGATGTAGTTTGCCTTGGAGAGGGAGCGTTTGAAGGGCAAGGAGCTTGGTGTCCGCAGAGTCGCGATATGCGTCCACTGCCAGGATGTTTTGACGGGATCGCAGCTTGATGAAGGTGTCGCGGCTTTCCTGCTTGGTAAGGCGGGCTGCTTGTTGGACAGCTTGGCCGATGGTGGTAGGGCTCACAGATGCCCAGTTGGTGTTGTCCGTGAACTTCACGATTATGGTCCGGGGTGAAGGCAGGCGTGGTGTTGGAGTGGCGGGTGTCCAGCCGACTTCATCGTCGGCAGTGTCCATGGGGAGGTAGGACAGAGGGGTCGGGTTTAAAACTCTAAGGGCGCAGAAGGTGTTCACTGACCTCCTAGGAAAAGTTAAGCGGGTTCCGAGGCCGGGAACTGGGCAAAATCGTAGCTGGGAACGAGACTCGATCTGAGCACTTTAGTACGCATCGAGCGCTTCTCGAGACGACGGAGCACGGCGGTGTTTATACGAGAAGCACGTTCTCCTCCGGGGTTTGCGAAGCCCGGAGAAGTCGACCGTTCTCGATGCTGCCTGGATCGCGTCTCTCTTTAAGACGCCGCCTTTGTGCCGACGCTTCTCGCACCCCGGAGGAGGCACCGAAACTTGGTTTAGTTTGGCTACGGAGCCTGGAACGCGCATCTCTCCAGCGGGCACGTCTGCCGCCTCTTTATTCTGCCCCTTCGGTTCCTGCTTGGTGACGCCATAACCATCTAAATGTGGGGACCGCCGCGGTCCTGAGTGGCACAGCTGCGGAGGTGGATACGACAGCAGACGCAGCTGCCCTGCGATGGCTTGCTGTGCAGCCGGTCAGTCGACTGAAACTTTTGCAGCCTCGCGGGTTGGGACATCACCACCACGAAGACAAGGCCCTGTTGTACTCCGACGTTCAGCGCAGCGAACGCAACGTAGCGCACAACGCGCGCGTTTCATTGGCCGGCGAGCAGGAACTCGATATCTGCGACTAGAGCCCCTAAATGATTTGCGCTTAGAGTATCGGCACTTCGTTCCCCAACATTGTTGTGGGCGCCGCCATTTTGGCTCGTATGCAGAGCAGACGCAACTGCCGATTGTCATAATTCAATAGTGCGATTTCCACAGCAATAGATTTGGTGTTAGAAAGGTCGTGTAATATTGCTTTGCTCTGCCGCGAGATCTTTAAACATCTATGCAGGGCCTAAAAGCGTTTCCTGTCATTTCAGATAAAGCTTCAGATAACTGGCAACCATGATTTTAAGACAAAATATGGCGAAGTGTCGTTACTCTGGAGAGTAGCTTATTTAGTGGCACTATCTGCGAGCAGTCAGTATCAGTGTCCGCAGCGCTACACTGCGTTTCCTTGCGCTAGACGTCAGAGTTTATAGCAAAGCCTTAAAAGGGTCATGAAACGATATCATCTTGGAATGTTTATGACTTTGAAGAGGCGTACTGGTACTACTCTGGCCCAAGTATACTCGCACAGAGCCCTACTGATGCAGAAGCTTCTTTGCCGCGGTGAAATTTTGAGGGTAAAAGCGGACTATTTCTTTCAGTCTTGCCTTCGCAAAGCTCGATGACGTAATTGTGGGATCGAAACGACGCGCCTGCCGACAGTCCAGCGTGGCTACTGGATTGAACACGAAAACTGCGTGAGCACTCGACTTCGGCCCGTAACAATCAATGCCTCCGTAGATACTCCGGTAGTGGCTCGTGTCCAACCACTGCGGTGATGAGAATAGCCGAACCCTAACAATGCCTGAAGCTCAGCGCACATTTTCTACTTCCCAATCCAAGCGCGTGGCTATGATTAACGTTGGCGGCATATGATAGGCACCAGGCGACGTGGCCGCTCGTTCTGGCTCCGAGTTGGGGGGATGGACAATGCTCATAGTTCTAGAATTTTGTTAGCGACTGCCATGTCAAGTTTATTCAGTTATTAAGCTATGGGGTGATTCTAAGTAGCATTTGGCGAAAGTAGAAACATCGTTTCGTGGTTCCATTAAGAGATACGGAATCGCGCCGTTTGCAGGAGCAAAGATCGTACGAGTAGATCCTATAGCGTGTGTATATAGGAACAGACCCACAATTTTCCGCACCACGCGATGCAATATGGGCTAAGCGCAAGGTCTCATGGTATTTCCGGAAGAGTTTATTCATCCTCAGATATTACGTACAAGTGTGAGCGTATTCGGGTTTTGATTACGAAACGAATATTGATTGTCCGAATAATTCTATCTAACGTTATAATTTATACTATTCGAGTTTTCGAATATTTCAATACATCGATTATCAGTACCGCTCAAAAACAAATTCAGGTTTGTTCAGGAACGATGTTTGTGTGGTGAAGTAGTCATCACATGCTTGTGTTGGATGTAAATCAACCTGAATTCAGAAGCCCCGACCAACGAACCATTTTGACAGAAAATAGTTCCCTGAGTCGCCATTTTGAATTCAAGGATCTAGCTTCACCTGCAGCAACCTCTATGCACAATATACTGGCTTCCTTTCTTTTCCATTCTCCCTTTCTTTTCAATACTTCTCTCTCTCTCTCTCAGCACAATATACTTATTCTCGGTTGTTACGTCCATATTATGACAAACTGTTATCAAAGTACAAACACCAGCAAATGTTGGGAACCTTTCGTAGGGGATTCGAAAGAGCATGGTGTTGAGACTCGATCTTGATGAGCACCGCACCGCCGTGCAGTCGTGTATCACGACTGCGTAGTGCACGTTAAATACCCCAGGCTAGCAGTGGTACTAGACTGGCAAAATTGTTCATATACAGCTGGGAGAATCGTCGCCCGTTGAGGCAGACCAAGTTTTAGGGTGTATAAACATACACTCAACCCAATACTTTGTAATTAAATCGTAATGACAAATAAGGATCAGTAACAGCACGGATGCTAATCATACAAATATTGTTTGGATATGGGCTAGTTGGTCAGACGCTGTGATGGTTTTCTGCGCTGCGTAGATGCAAGGAAAACGCACGTGATAAAGATTTAGACTTAAGCAGAAAATAGACGAAAAACAACATACAGGAGCGGCGCAGACTACACTCTAAAGAAAGGCTGTGCATCTACTTTCACGCACAACACTCAAAGAGCCAATCACCGCACCTTATGGAGGCAGCTTAGCGAAAGACGACGCCGAAACATATGTTAAGACCAAAAAAACGCAGTCTGAGTTGTGACGTTAAGCAATGCAAAACGTCTCGCTTCCATTGCTTAATGTCACAACTCAGACTGCGTTTTCTGGTCTAAATGTATGTTTCGGCATCACCATTCGCTCAGCTGCCTCCGTAAAGTGTGGTGATTAGCTCTCCGAGTGTTGTGCGTGAAAGTAGACGCACATACTTTTTTATAGTGTAACCCCCCCAGCCACAATATGTTTTTCAAAATAGGGTGCACGTGAAGCGAAAGCTCGTGCTGCAGAAGCTAGGATCCTGGGTTCAATTACCACCCCTGCCCGTGTCGATCTGGATGCGCATCACACCGGCGTGCGGTCGTGTATCACTACTGCGTGGTGCACGTTAAAGACCCCAGACTAGCAGTCGTACTGCACTGGATAGATTGCTTATCTATAGGTAGCAATGTCGCTATGTTCGGGCATATTCTCCTTCTGTATAAACAACTAACGACCAATTTCTTCCTCAAAATACTGTGTGGAGGGAGAAAGATGAAAAAGAAATTACATAGTTGTTAGTCTGCGCAATTCATGTATATTGCTTTTCTTCTATCCTCTCTTTTAGTTTAAAATTTATCAAGTGAATTTTTCTTGCATCTATGTAGCGCAGCAAACCATCACAATAACTATAAAAGCCTGTGGGTAACGATAAATTGCGTTCCTGGTTGCAGATTGCCGTAAAAACACATTTG